AGTTCTGCGACTAACTCTCTGTACTGTGTTTACAAATTCCCGTGTAACGGCGGGAAATATTGCATCTTTAAAACAGAATACACCGAACTCAGTGAAAAATGACCCGCCTGTCAAGCTTAAAGAGATGGATCATTGTGTACGAGGTTGAACGACATATGTTAACGAGCACCCCGGAAGAAAACAGCCTCGCCTCTGCAAAGTCGACGAACAGTGCAAAAAGACTTCTGGGATTGTGCAGCACGCGGTAGCACACCGGTACACCGACGCTTGCAGTGTATCGGCATTAACAGAGAAAGACACTTGGCTGTTCAGGCGCGTCAAGCGGGCATTAATCTTCCAGCCCTCAGCAGGGATGAGTCTTGTTTTCCTTGTCGCAGAGAAACAGCTGATTCAGGGACACTAACCGAAGGCTTGCCTTTTGTTTCCACACGCACCTGCAGCTGCAGATAATTGAAATACTTCGGAAGTTAGTGAACGAATCTCTTTAGCTTGAAGAAAATCCGCGAAACACGAACTAAAACATCGGTATTGGTCAACCCAAGGATTGACTGTAATTCTGCATTGTATATGAATTAACCTGCTTTATACTGTTTTCGAATTTAATATTTGCATACTGTAATATAATGCAATTTTAAATGCGCAAGTAAAATCCGTTGTAACGATTTTAGACGTTATTTTAATTGCCGTTGTTTGGTCGTTTTTCAGATTTTGATATTGCTCCATGTGTGAAAGCGCCGCGCCTATTCTGTTCTTTTAAAAATTCTAAATGCTCTTGAACGCAAATTTTTAGGCAACCTAGTCGACCTTGCAGTATGAATTTCCTGGTCTTATCGCGGTATTTTAATTTGCTTAAATTTTAATTGTTTTAATGATTGTTTACAGATTTCTCGGTGGACGTTGTGGGTCGACTTTGTTACGACAGTCGTTGATATCTCAGAGCAAATACCTGTTTTCCACCTGGTAAGCGGAATAAGATTTTTGCTATCATTTTCTTTTAAATCTATCATCGAGACGCTGTTTAAGCGTCCCTGCTTGCTCTGCCGCAAAGACCCCGGTACAGCAATGGGGATGGGACTATTTGCAGCGACAGAAAGCCTTAAATCGACCAATTGCGCCCCATCTGACCGTATACAAGTAGTTTCATTTGATTTTGTTTTGTAGTTTGTACCATTATAATTGTCACTCTGTAGGCCTATGTTAACTTGGATGGTGTCCGGACTTCACCGTATCACCGGAGTTGCCATGGGCATTAGTAAGTGTCTTAATATATATTTGCTTATCGTATGTATGCATTGTTATATGGTATATGACAATAAAATGCTGTTATTACCCTATGTAATATAAATTGCTGCATGAATGGTTCCGTATGCTAGAAGACGAAACAATGATAGTCTTTATTAGAATTACTGGTATTTCGGCCAGCGTAGTTTGGCTGTTACGGATTCAGCTAAGACTACTTTCTATCTGTTTCCTTGTGTCTAGAACCACTGAAATGAAAATTTATTGATTTAAGTTAGTTTCAGAATATGTTTGTGATGCAGTATGTTCCTACTTTTGTACTACATGTAATTGCTTTAAAATTTATAATTTATGTCCGGCTGTAGTTGTTTTGCATGAACACTGTCGTAGAGAATGACTATACAGTACCGGATTCTACGGCAAAGTTCCACCGCCCCCTTGT